AACTAGGGACTTTAATTCTTATGTTTTAAAGCTACAGATTTCTTCCTTTTGATAGAGACAGTATCTCTCTCTCCTGTCTATTTCAACAGTGTAATTGGCAGTTTTTCAGTTTTCCAACTCATAAACTTTGCTCTTACTTGTTGAAGGTTAACATTTACTACCAACTTTTCATTAAAACTGAAATTCAGAATCATCTTTAGAAAGGAAAAGGGACTTGACTCAAGGGTAAAAACAGACATATCAGCCAGACAAATCAGGACTTTTGGTTATAACTCACCTTCCCCCAGAAAGATTAAGCAAGTGTTAGGAGTGGCCCAGCCCTGCAGTGGCAACATACACAGCGTGCTGAATTAGAGCGTGGACTGGGGAGGTCAAATGTGTGGATTCTGGCCCTGCTGTTTACTGCCTCTGGAACTTGGGTAAAGGTCCTAACTTTTTTATAACTGTCTCTTTCTGCATTGGTAAACTGGGAATAATACCAGCACTACTTCTTAGGAATATTATTAGAATTAAATGACTTAATATTTATAAAGAGCTTAAAACAGAGTTTAGTACATAAGAATTTTGCTAGGTTCTTTGTTTTTGTTGTTATTTTTAAATGAAAGAGTGATGAAAATATCTCCTCTCCTGAGATGACATATTTCTTAATTCTGACAATGGCAAATATAAATACTTTTCCTTCATTAACACTGGGCTCCCCATTCTATATGAAACCACCACTCATACCTGTTCATTATAGAAATCACATTATATTGTAGAATTATTACATAGAATTATATATGTAGAATTATTATTATAGAATGGGGAGAAAACAGGTTAGAAAAAAGTGTTTGATTTACTTACAGTGAAGGAGTTTTTAAAAAATGTCTTTGTTTATTAAAAACTACGAAGATAATTTAACAGACTTAAATTAATTTGCAGATCTTGTTGGCAAACAGTAGGAGTTTGGAGAGATTTTATTCTTGGCTTAGGGCGTCTAATTTCTATATGACAACTGTCATTATTGTCTAAGATCTGGACGAGATTTTAATTCCCAGATGAATGTATCCTGTGAGTGGCAGTGAGCGCTTTAGTTTGGAATGCTGCACCTGCCCCCCTTCATCCCGAGGGCTGTGGATTTCACACCAGTCACATTGGCTCCTCGTCCTGATTACTTACTGGTTCCTTCTCGCTTTCCCCATATAGACCTGGCCACTCCCTTGTTTGGAATCAGACACTAAAACTTTTTATTTCATTGGGCTACCAAATCTTGTTAATATCACCCACCTCTTCTTCTTTTCACTGAATAATTTGCCAAACTTGTCCATCTACCACCTCACTTCCTCAGCCAAAGGACTGGTATCTGGAATATATGAAGAACTTCTACAAATCAATAAGAAGAAAAGGGGCAACTCCATAGAAAAATGAGGGGGAAACATGAACACCTTGACCAGCTATTTCAAAGAAATGGGAACATGCATGGTCAACAAACATGAAAAGATGTCCAAACTTATTAGTAAATGAGTAAATGCAAAGGAAAACCACCATGAGATGCCATTTCACAATTAATTGGCATATATGAAAGTATGACAATTTCAAAGATTGGTGAGAATATGGAGTAATAAGCATTTTCTTACTTGGTTGGTGGGAGTAAATTCAGGAGCAATCATCTGGAAACAAATTTGGTATTACCTAATAAAATTAAGCATATGCACATCCTGTGACCCAACCATTCTACTGCAAGTTATTTAGCACGTGTGCACTAGGAGACTTGCACAAAACTGTTCCAAACAGTCATGTTTGGAACAGCAGAAACAATGGAAATGACCAAAATATTCATAAATAGTAGGGTGAATAAATAACTGATGGTATAGTAAATCCACGGAATACAATACACCTGGAAAATAGGTGAACTATAGCTCATGAGTCAACAAGGATAAATATGAAATGTGTAATGCTGAGCAAACAGTGTTACTCACGGGAATACCTATGGTATGGTTTCCTTTCCGATAGATTATATAGGGATGTTTACACATTAACTGTCGTAAAAAGTACAATGAAAAGCAAAGGAAAGGCTCATTCAATATTCAAGACAGTGTTTATATCTAAAGACAGGAAGTTGTACATAGGAAGGGACCAATGGAGGCTTCGAAGACATTCTAACCCTCTATTTCGAAGGCTAGGTGGCACAACCATTCTTTCCCCTGTGAAATTGATTGATCCATCACATACAATTCTGTGTATGGTGTATGTTATGATTAATACATAAAGAATCTAATGCTCAATAACTATTCTTAGGGTTTTAAGATTCCTCATTGAAAGGTTCTTCAGTATCAAGTGAGTTTTTGGAAATTTCCCCTTTCAGTCTTGAAATACAAGCATTCCACAAAGGAACAGAACGTTAAGGTCAAAGTGTTAGAATTAATATGGGTATTTGTTTGAAGATATATTGAAAAGAACTGGCTTGCTGATAGTTAAACACTATTTTCTTAATAATAATAAAGCTAGCTCTTTAAAACATTTCAAATATTTTACAAATCATGGTATTATAATCGTGGAGGAGCCTAACTATCCAGAGACATGTAAGACAGGTAATTAAAATAAAAGGTTATAGAACGAATGTAGAAAGAGAGAAACCACAGACACTCTTTAGAAACCTAGAACTTTCCAAGGTTATGGACTTGGATTCGTGTGTTATAGCTGCTTTCAGTGTTTTGCTGATATGATTGGATACTACTAAAAACATTAGGGGAACATGGAGAGAAACCTGTAGTCTCTTATAACTCTACAAGCTTTTTCCAGTTGTTACATAGACCATTGTATGTGAGAGTAGGCTCAGCTCTGACAAGAGTGGAAGGAAAGATTGGTGTGTTCTTTTAGCTTTTAATTATACAAACAATTCTGGAGCTTTCCTTTGGAGTTCTTTTCTTACCCTCTCCCCTTTTGGACATCTGTTATGTAGAGTATGACCTTGTGTTTCTGCATTGCCCCCTTTTACAAAGTTAGAGACTCTCTATGAAGTTAGAGAGTATAGAAGAGTAGGTATGTTTAAGGATTTGGGGAGTTTATTAGGGATGGTCACATAATTTACTGAAAACCCATCAAAGGTATTCAGTTTTAAAGCCAAATACAGAGAAACACAAAGGGTATGTGACAGTGGGGCAGGGGTGAGGATTGTTCTGTATTGTTGCTGTTGTTGAAAGCAGAATCTCCTCATTAAAGCTTGCATTGTATAAAATACAAAACAAACAAACAAACAAACAAAAACAACCAACTAACAACAACACACAAACCCAGAAAGAATCCTGGTAAAAATTCTCAAATGTTTGTGAAATTGGACAAATGTCTTATAACATTGGTCTTAAATGATTTTATGACATGTGTTAAAGTACTCCAGAAATAGAAATTTCATCAACGGCTCTTCTCACCCCAAAACTCTAAAGGAAAGAAGTTTAGAATATGGTGTACTAAATTGATAGATTGTAATCTGTTTGATTTCTCACCTTTTGATATCAGTTCATGAAGTTTGCTAAACATTGTTGTTTACAGGAGCATTATTAGAGATGTCTCGGAAATAATGGAAATGTAAAGTACTTTGTCACACAGGAAGTGGGAAAGCAATGTTACTGTGTCATCATTCATATTTGCTAAGGTACAAATCCTTAGTTAGAAATAGACAGACAAACTTGGATCCCAGAAACAACGGTAGGACCCAACCAGAGAGTCTCAGTTTTTCTTCAATTCTTGTGAAACAAAAAAAAAACTTGAGACCATGAAATTGAGTCAATTTTATTGGAAAGTAAAACATGCTGATTCCAGCTGAATGAATTCCAATTTAACTATTGATTCAATTACTCAATAATATACTGAATATGTCATTTACATTGTTTTCCTTCCAATTTTGGTGCAGGTTAGTGGAGCAGTTAAAGGAAATTTCTGAAAGACTTTAATGCCATGGAATCATTTTAGCCTATGTTATAGAGAGCTTTAGGATACAGGGAAAATGGGAAGAAGAATAGAGAAATGGACCCTAGGACCAAGGACCATGGCACAGTGTGAGAGAGTGATAATCTAGCCTCCATGTGCACATGCACGTACGAGGTTGGACAATTAAGTTCGAGAACTTGTTGCAGCGATGTTGCTAACCTTATTGGATATCAGAGCAATTATTCATTATGAATTTATACCAACTGGACAAACAGTTAACCAAGTTTACTATTTGGAAGTCCTGAAAAAGCTGAATGAAAAGTTAGATGACCTGAACTTTTCACCAACAATTCATGGCTCTTGAATCACGACAATGCACCAGCTCACACGACACTGCCTAGGAGGGAGTTTTCAGTCAGTAAAGAAATAGCTGTATTAGAACACCCTTCCTACTCACCTGCTCTGGCCCCCAATGACTTCTTTCGTTACTTGAAGATAAAGGAAATATTGAAAGGAAGACATTTGGATGACATTCAGGACATCAAGGGTAATCCAATGACAGCTCTGATGGCCATTCCAGAAAAAGAGTTCCAAAATTGCTTTGAGGGGTGGACTAGGCGGTGACATCAGTGCATAGCTTCCCAATAGGAGTACTTTGCAGGTGACCATAGTGATATTCAGCAATGAGGTATGTAGCACTTTTTCTAGGATGAATTCGCGAACTTAATTGTACAACCTCATATACACAACTACAGTCTTTTTAAAAAGATGTCTATTGAAATAAGGCTAACATACCATATTATATTAGATTCGGGGGTGTGCCATGGTTATTCAACATTTATATACCTACAGGAGTGATCACCACAATAAGTCCAGCAGCCATCTGACAATGTACCACACTATCACAATATTAGTGACTATTTTAATTTAAGTTTCTTTTTGAGCTTCCAGCCCACAAAAGCTTTTTAGGACTGCGTGTCCCTGGGTTCTGGAGTACTTATTTTGATCAACGCACTGTTCAGCCTATTGATGATTTCTGTATTTTGTGTTCCTTCTTTTTCTCACTCTGTGGCCTCCTCCCGATTGAAATGAAGATTGCTGTGTGCACTGTATCCTGGCCTGCTTGTTCTGTGAATTCCTGACCCTCTGCAATATTGTCCTGGGACAAGCGTCATGTGGCCTCTGCACCTCAGAGGCCTGCTGCTGTTGCTGTGGAGATGAAATGGGGGACGACTGTAACTGCCCTTGTGACATGGATTGTGGCATCATGGATGCCTGTTGTGAATCATCAGACTGTTTGGAAATCTGTATGGAATGCTGTGGAATTTGTTTTCCTTCATAAATATTTATATTTTGTTAGTGTTAAAACTGGAGAGTGATTTAAAATGTTTCTTTTAAAAGGAAGAAAAGCACATGGTAAGATTCTCATGCAGTAACCCAGTATTTGCACTGTTAACTCATTTTAAATAATCTCTGAAAGCTTTTCTTCTCTAACCAAATCTCCATGGTTTAATATGTGAAATTTTAACTACTTTAAACTGCTTAATAAGTTCCAATGACTGAGGAACATTTTGACCAGAACAAAACAAAAAGAAAAACTAAATGTCTCCTCCTTTTTAAACATATTTCTATTTCTTTTAATCATTCTCAGGAGTCCCTTGCTCCAACTCCAAATGTATTATTTCTCAGTAGGTGTTAAAAGCTGACAGTTTATTTTTGATGTATATCTATTAATAGTTAACAGTAAACATTTTTTATTTCAAGGTAAACTTTGGGAAACAAACCAAAACAATAGTTGGGCTCCCAGTGTTGATTTCCATGCTTGGTTCTCCACTTTTTCCACTTGTTAACAAGACACTGAGCGCAACCTGTGTAGAATCTGCTGGGATGCAGAGATGGATGTCGTTCAGTTCCCACCCAGAGGAGGACAGGTTAGCAGAGGAAAGAGCCCTGTAAAGAATGAACCTTTCCACAGGGCACAGTGAAGTGGGGGTTATGAGAGAGAGAAACTCAAGAGGCCTGGGGATACCCAGAAAAGAACAGCTAACATCTCCTGGAATATTCCGTAGGCTTCAAGGAGAATGTGGCATTTGAGGAGGCCTCTTAGGACGAGTGATTCACCTGCTGCTTGAATGAATGGTTTAGATTTAGAACGAAATTTTAGATGAACAGCCTGAACTGTGTGTGCACTTAAGCAGTTAAAAAATGCCTTAAATATTTTCTTTAGTTGCAGAACTATAGCTTTAAAAAAAAATCAATAAAATTTAACTAAAAATATGCATTTTCTTAAACAATTTAAAAGTAATGATTAAGTTTTTGATAAAAAATAATTCCTATTAAAAGAACTATATTTTATAAAGAATGTGGAATACATTTGTCAAATAGCATTTAAATTAATTTTCTTTTTAAGATTTTTATTGGGGAATTGGGGGGATGGGAACAGTGCTGGGGAATTGGGGGAAGGGGAACAGACAAGTTGCTGTCGTTTTTTGTTTTTCAGTCTAGTTGTGGAGGACGTTGCTTCAGTGGCCCAAGTTGGCACCATCATTGTGCTCTTCCCAGGTGAGGCAGATCAGTTGCCGGCTTTTGGACGGCCGCTCACTACGGCTGCTGGCTACATACGGTAGCCCATGGCAACCCACTGCCACAGGGGCTGCAGCCTACATCTCCGGCGACTCACGGCAGCCCAGCTCCAGATTGAGCTGTTGTTCAGCATCTTAGCTGTGGAGGGCAGTGTCACTGGCCCTCATATGTGGGATCTGAACCGGGGCCCTCTGGCGTCCCAAGCCAGTTCTTAACCATCGCGCCACTCAGCCAGCCCTTAAATTAAATTTTTAATATTGAAGTTCCAGCATTCTGATTTTGATTTATTCAGAAGCTTTTATTCTTTCTCCTTTCTTTCTTCCTTTTTTTTTTAATATATAATTTGATAGCCATAAGTCTTTTTTCAGAGGGTTTGGGTGTATTTTAATTTGTTTTGGTTTGTTTCTTAACCAATGTTATATTTTATAAACACAATCTTCAATGAAGACCATTCCTTGCAATGCAGTGGGAGTCTTGATCCATTACTGTGACCAATTTCAGTATTGCAATTTTATGTTAAATTGGATTAATAGTTATTTTTAATTCTTCTGGTTAAATATCAAGTTAATAATAAAAACAAATGCCTAGTTTTAGGAAACCTTTAGCAAACCTAGACTTTTAAACCTAAAGCATGGAAATGCCACCTATGGTTTTCCTTTGAGATGAAACGTAGTTTCTACTTATGTCATTACTTAAAGAGCTTAAAAAAGAAAAAAAAAACAAACTCTTGAATTCCCCATTTAGTGCTATTTACACACACACACACACACACACACACACACACACACACACACACACACACTCCTTTAAGTTTTTTGGTTTAAATCGAGTTCTAGTAAACAGCTGTCTTTGTCTTCCTTGTCTAAAGAGCGTGTTTCATTTGTTACATCAAATATAAGAACATCTCTGTACTATTTCATAGTAACCAGCATCTGACTATTTACAAATACCCAGAGTTAACATAGGCGTATATATTAGGGTATAAGAGTGTCATCAGTGTATTGACATATAAAGCCTTCTAATGACCTGGAATTGTTAAAATACTTCACTTTCTATCCTGCAGAATTTTTCACCTAAGTGGTTTGTCTAATATTTAAATATATTCTGCTACTATTTGAGATAAAAACATTAGCACTTTTAAAATGTTTCTCTGTAACAGAGAACATTAATAGCAGAATTGTTTGTTCATATTTATATTCATAGTACTTTTCCTCTATTGTCTACTTCACAGTCATACCATAAAGTACCTTGTATGTTTTAAAAATAATAATAAATGAAAAAAATACATATGCAATTGTGAAAATAGTTTCAATATATTTTAGAATTTCTGTATGTAAAATGTTCTGTTGTAAAATTAAATGGCCATCATGACTAAGTGCTATAGTTTACAGTTATAGAGTCGGTCTCTTTTTAAAGGTGGAAACTGAATCTTAAATATTTTTAAACTGGACCTGTATTATCCTGAATACATTATTTTGAAATAAAAAAAAATGACTCCTCCATTGCGCTTTAACGTATTTTCTAATTGATGTATAATTTGACTGATGTTTGAACAAATTCAACTATAATTTGAAAACCTGAGGCTTTTCTTTGTAGTTACTTCCCTTTCTGAAGACTTCCTAGTCTCCTTATGTATATCACAGGACACACCCAAAATGAAATATGAAAGATTCAGATCAGTTTATAGTGCAAATCACAATCGACATGATTTCAAAACACAATGTTCTTGAAAAGATTCGTAGTCATTCAAATGCTAGTTGTGTACCTTTTTTTAGTAACTTGTTTTCATTTATTTGCTTTGGATTTATCTCCTAATTTATAAAAACTAAGGTGCTTTTTTACATGTGCTTAGATTAAACATGAAAGATCTATGAAATTAGGTATTAGATTTAATGAATTTCACCCAAAAGTAAATCATCAGAAGTATTTTCATCTAGGGTTTTTAGTTGGCCCAATTTTTAAGTAGTAGGAAGTTTTTTTTATAGTTAGTATTTAACCCCTGCAAAATCACTTTATTTAGAAGGCTTTCTATTTAGAAATATGATAATTTCATTTTTGTGTTCTTACAGGATATCAGCTATATCATTTTCCTCATCTGAAGTGGTCAGTGTTTCTCTGACCAGTTCAATGAGTAACTAAGGCAACCTTATGTAATAACGTTCCATTATACATACAAACTCTATCAGTGCCCTAGATTCTAATGTTATAAACGTCAGAGTCACTGTTTAATATAAATACTCATAAGATTCAAGTCCAGAGTCTCTGTGGTTTGCCATCTTGAATTCCAGTTTGAATGCTTAGGTTTACCCAACCACCTAACAAATAAATTTATTTATTAATAAGATTATTTTTCAAATTATTTGAGACCGTTATGCCCTTTCCAATTACCAGTGATTTGTAGGTCTATAGGTTTATTGCATCTAATCTGACAGGCAAGATAAAATTTCATCAAATACTACAATATCCATTTTTCTCTTCCTTTTCCATTAATGTAAAGCATATCATTTTTGTTTGAAAAGGCGGTTAATATATTGATAGGGTTTATTCAACACTTACTATTTATATTTTAAATCAAGGATTAGGTACTACAGAGGGAGTCCTTTTAACCCTTAATTTCCATGTCCCCTATAACCAGTATATTTTTAGTGACTGTTTTGTCGAGGCATGTCAAGAGAGTCATATAACCCTCAGGAAGTTTCAACCTAGGGAAAAAGTTTGGCACTCCCCATGAGTACAAATCTTATTTCCAACAGTGAAGTCAAAAATGTTTGCTTATTTAAGGTTACCTATTTCAAAGATTTTAGTAAAAATGGAAGGGACTGGGAAGAGGGGATAACAGCCCTAATGTGGAGGGTAGTTTTTGCAAAAACTATCACTGATGACTAAATCCACCATGTACCTTCACATTGCAACATTCCCAATGAACAGTGGCTGCTCCGTCTACTTTAAAGGTCTGTCAATCAAAATATTGTATAAGTGATCAAATTTTAATGAAGTCAGTAGGCAATCTGGAGGTGAAAAGAATTATAAACAAAGCCACAGCCAAGCCCCACCGAAAAAGCAGGATCTACAAGCAAGCAGAAATCTGCACCACCCCATTCTTCATCAACCTAGGACAATAGTGTGACATTTTCCCTGGTGGCTGCAGCTACAGCTCTTAAGCTGCCAGAGGTAATTGAGGAGCTCCCTGCCTTCCAGCTGAACTGTGATGACTAGTTCTAGTTCCATCATCTGGCCACTGTCTACGCCCTCTGTCCCTTACCTCAATGCCACTAAGAGAGAATCCTGAATTTGGTTGTGAGGTGACCATGAAGAAAGCATTTCAGATAACAATCCTCTGACACATTACCCATGTGGGGCATAGATATATGTGTAAAGACAAAGTATAGCTCTGCGATTAGGTGTTTGCTTCCAGGCTGGCCTTTGTGCGAGGTTCAGTTGAGAATGTAATTATTAGGAGAATTGTGAAAAGCAAATTCAAACAAATTCTAGGTTTAGCTTGAAAAATTGAAAACGTTCTTAAACTCTGTCTGATGCATAAAGGGGCAGAAGCAAAGGAATTATGTTCCAAAGCCAAGAAAGAGGGTATACAAAAGCCGCTGATTCGCTTGACATAGTTCATAGCCTTTTGCAAAGGAATAAAAGCCTGTTGAGCAAGGAACCAAAGGATCTCATTATACGATGAAGCAAAGCCATATTAAAGCTTGTGCACTAGTAACTATGTCTGAAAACAGCCTGCTGTTTTATATTGAACCAATACATTTCTTAACTTGGTAGGTTGCAGTGTAAAGACGTACAGAGCTGGTCTGCTGGATGCTATGCCAATTACAGACGTGGTGAAGTGGAGTCAAACACCTACATACAGTTAGCGCAAGCAATATCTTCGCGTGAAACAAAAGAAGTTTTAAAATGTCATCTCGAAACTGAGAAAACACAGTTCAACCTGTTTGTAATGACTCTTAAGAGTCTTGAGATCACTTTTATTATATAGTTTAATGTGGACATTATACAATTCCTCAATCAGAATGCACAATTCTTTCAAGGACATGAATAGTGCCTGAGAGAGGAGAATCTCTTTCAAAAGGAACACCTCCAGATGACAAGGCATCTGTGATCAGCTCAGCAGGAACTGTGTTTTCTTGGTGTTGAGGTGAAGGAGGAGGAAAATACCCATGAATACATATTATATTCGATTTCGTTAGATCATCAGGAAGAATAATTGGGCATATTTACACAATTACACTTTAGTAAACTACTATGCCAGCTTAACTATTATACATATTCTGATAAAAGTACATTAAATTGTAATCTAAAAGCAATCGGGCTGCTGAGGACATTATTTTTTTACCTAATTATTCACAAATTAATGAATAAAATGAAATTCCAATCACTAAAGAAAATGAAGTAATGGTGAGAATCAGAACTACAGATTAGTTAAAGCAAAGATATGCAATGCATAACAGAATTAAAGCATTTCTTTTATTCAAACTCGGTGCTTAAAAAAGAACAAATCCATCATCTTGAAATTTGACTTGTAGCTTGACATTAAAAATAATATGAGTAGAATTTTCAGTGGGGTAAGCACAAAACTAGTTCAAGTTGTGTCACTCTCAATTACTGTACTCAGGTGGTGTGCCCATTAAAATTCCCACTTGTGGGTTTTGCTCACTATGCAAATGGGGTCATTACCTGGAGAAT